AGATGATTTTCGGAAATCTGACATTTCGAAACAATGATTTGTGGAAATATGCTTTTCTAAAATGTGCACCGAAATCAAGTAAAAAAACCTAACACTTTTTATGAATTTTCGGATCCAGCTATAGTGTTCGTTTTTCAGAGGCTCGTCCCGCCACCAAATCTGAAAAGCCCGTCGGTCCCTCACCCATGGGGACGCCTGGTCATCCTTCCAAGGGTCTTTAAAAAAACGACTACAACATCGGCTCAATCGACTGGCACGCTCATCAACTGGTTCGGGACGGAGCGGTGAGTTTTCTATTGTGTCGATCTTTTCTGTTATTCGACTTTCGAGGATTTGAAATTTTCAGAACCCGATGTTGACGAAAACCACTCAAAGATGGAGAAAGACATCAAGCGAGCTCGCGGCATGCATGCACGTGGGTTTTTTTCCTTGCTTTTCTTTTTTTTGGTATATGTCGGCTACGCGGGGGGATTTTACGCGGGGGGGACGGGACAGGCAGCCCTTTTTGAATGTTTTAGTTATTTTCTCGGAATTTTCGCAACGGCATTCGATAGAGCATCGATAAATATACTAAGAGTTTTTGTTTTAGCTAAAATTAGTGTAATAATAACAAGGTTATGGCAGATACAAAAATAAGCTTTGAAAATCGGTTTGAGCGGCTGTTTTTCGATATTCGCGCTATTTTTTGACATTTTAAAGATGCCATTCGATAGAGCATCCAAAAATATACTAAGAGGTTGAATTCTAGCTCAAAATAATGTAATATAAAATAGTTATAACAAAAACAAGTATTAAACGTTATTTTCATGGAGGATATAGAAGGAAATCAAATTTTCGACATTTTCGACATTTTTACAAAATTTCTTTAGTGCCATTCGACAGAGCGTCGAAAAATATACTAAGAGTTTTGTTTGTAGCAAAAAGAAACGCAAAAAAAATAGTTAGCTCGGCCCCAACAGTCCGTCCCCCCCGCGTAAAATCCCCCCCCCCCGCGTAGCCGACATATACCCTTTTTTAAAGGGGTCTGTTAATCTTTTTTTGGGTTTCCAGCTCGTCGCGTGTCAGGCCAGGCGGTCGCCAGGAATACGGGATGTCCCAATCCCAAGGATCTGGAGGGCTTTCTTTGATGCATTGGGATCGGCGAAGCAGGCCTGTACTTCATGCAACCAGCTAATAGAAGAAGCCGATTACGGGAATCGGGTAGGTTTCGACACCTTAAATCATGTAAAAAACCTGAATGACCTGAAATATGAGAATCGTTATAGCTCGTCAATCTTGTCCCACATCAAGAACTCGTCGAATGGACCAACATCGCGCAGCAGGCCTACAACGAGATGGACTCCACAGCCGAGGTAGGTTGCTAAAGTAAAAATAAGTTGGATCGGAACTTGAGTTCAATAAATCCCCATGCATTTAGCGGATCAGAGTCGTGTTATACGAAACGGTGAAACATGAAGAGGAAGAGGAACCCGACGACGAGGACGACGGCGTGTACCCCCAGGGGTGTTATTTTCCGCCTGCAAAGGTAAGTAAAAAAAACCAGACAACACGTGTTTACGAAACTTCGGATCCAGTAATAGTATTCGTTTTTTCAGAAGCCCTTCAACTCGCCTAATCTCCGGACCCGGATCGATGCCGTCATCAGAGCGTTGTACGGCCAAGAGAGGAACCCATCCCATATGTCAGTAGTATGGTAGAGCACAATCACCCCTCCCCTGGCCCTAGATCCCGCAGCCCCCCCTCGGGCCCGCAGCCCGCGCGCGCAATGTCTGCTTCTCAAGAAGACGAGGTCAAGAGAGGTATAGAATAACTTTTGACTTCTTTATACGGTTTTAGGACCCGGTCGCCCTCGAGTGTTCAAGGTCGAGCAACGGCCGGGAGAATCGTTCGATGCTGCGGTTAAGCGCCAAGCCAACGATCGACATCGTCTCAGCGTCAAGCAGCGCCTGATCAATATGAGGTTGGTTAGGTTTTATGAAGTAAAAAAAGTATTATAGAATTACTATAAATAGTTTAGGGCCCTTGTTGACGAGCTTCTCACCCTCGAAATCCACCACGAAAAATGGATGGAAGTGGTTCCCCTGATCGAGAAGCTCCAGTCGATGAGGCCCGGGACCCGCGTACCCAGTAAGTAGTCATCATCAACTATTTTTAAAAAAAACCCTCCAGCAAAAAAGCTTTTTTTCTAGAAAAGAAAGCTGAATACCTTCCGAGCAACCCGGCCCGTAAAAGGGCCCAGGGCGCCGAGGCAATCCGCACTTTCCGCCAACGGCAAAAAGAAGAAGTGAAGTACTTTTGGTAAGTAAATTAACGTTAATGCTTTCTTTTGCGCTTTTTTAGGACTTAGCATTCAAAAACACGTTTTCAGGGACGTGATGATCCTGAACATCAGACCGATTTTGCTCGAGACTTCGGGTGCCGAAATTCTTCAACTGGCCCAAAAGTATGGTGTTCAATTCGATTTGTAATTGTCGAATAATAAATTGTTGTTAACAAAAGTCAATATGAAATGCTTTATTCAGTTTTAATTCCGGCAGGGGTGTTCGTTTCGCGTTTCATGCTTACTCAACAGCCATGAAAAAGTTGCCGACAGAGTCGCGATACAGAGTGCTAACAGACACTGTCGATAGTTTTCCCTGAACTTTGATATTATTCGAAAATAGTTGATGCTGAGTTACCTTAGGTCTTGGATCCTGGCCAGTTTCCGGGTCTTTCTTCCTGTAGCCCGGGATCGGATAGAAGCTCAACTTCGATGGATCGGGAGACGGCGCTTTCTTTTCCGGCTCCTTCAGATGTTCTTTGCGAGGGCGACCACGAGTAGACCTCAGCGGGTCGTGTCTTTTGGGGGCAGCATTCTTTCGAGGACGGCCTCGGGTTCGTCGAACCGGAGTTTCTTCGCCAGGCAATGGGATTTCCGCAACTGCTGGCATATTCTCCAGGTTCATCTCAGACCTAAGGGCTTCTCCAGGCTTTTTCTCGTCGCTCGGGAGCAAGAGCCAGGTAAGAGGAACCATATCACTGGGTTCCCACCAAGATAGTTGTCCTGGAACAGCGGGAGTCGATTTGTAGATTCTTCCTCCGTTTAACAGTTCCGGCAGTTTATCGGTCGATATTTTCGTAGAGTCCAATTTGTCGGCGTCGAATCGAGGCATGAAAAGCGTGCCCAGAATAAGCGCGTCTAGCAGCTCGGGTATATCTCGGACCAGTTCGAAATTCGGATCGGCAGGGGTAGACGAAGGCGTCGGGGGTACGGTAGCGGGAGCAGAACTCATGGTTGGGTGTGTTTTTTGTGAATGAGCTTCAGGCTAGACCAGCGCCAATTTATACCCAAATTCTCGCTCCATGTATCGTATGATAAATTGGTCGTCGTTGCGAATTCTCTCCAGGACCCATATCAAATCGGAAAATGTCTTTCCCTTACTCATTTCTGTCACAAACCAAATTGCAAAACCACCACATGTTCGTGTAAATATCGACTGATGTGGGTACGGATTGTAGAAAATTTGAGTTGCAAATCGGTTTATCCATTCGTAAATTGGGTTGTCAGGGAATGGTGCAACACCACCACTATCAAAATACCAAAGGCGACGCTCGCGATCCCCCTAACATTGCCACCCAGTGCGTACCGTCATCAGAGGCTGGGCTCAAATTAGCAATAACCGTAAAAGGAAAATGGGGAGGATCGGGAAGCTGGTCTGCCGGAAAAGTACCGAGAAAATGGCGGCGAGCAATAGGATGAGAAAATAACAGACGGTCGATCTTAAAATTGTTCATCGGCTTAAATGGGCAAAACAGAGATTTGACGTTGAGCGTCGATGGTGATGAGACCGCTGAACTCGCCGGCGACGACGACTTGTACCGCCTCCGCCAGAGCTGTGTGAAATTCGAGCCTTAAGCCACAGGCACCACGAAGCGCAAGTTGAAATTCGGACTCGGAGCTATCAAGGCTAGCCGGCAGCAAATCGATACAGTACACGGCGCGAGAATCCTGGAACATTTCGGGGCTGATACCATTAGTGCGTTGACTAGCCGTAAAGCCGAGACTTTCCGACATTTGATGCCAGGCGGGCATAAATCGACCATGATAATAGTCGAGATCATACGGACGTAGAGGCACCGTTGTACCACAAAAGTCCACGTAGATGTTCCGCAAATAGTTGTGATTGAAGCGGAACGGATCTTTTTCGTAGCTTCCGGATAGGGCCTTTGCATTCACAATCCCCACGAAAATACGTCGCGGGACCTGATTACCTGAAAAACACACGTATTCTTGTGTTAGAGCTGTGCCAGCGTTCACAAAGAAGCTTTTCGTGACCATCTGGCGACATGGATACGTGGCCAATTTTCCGCTTGCCAACATCCGGTTGATCGCGGAAATCGTCTGATCGAAGCACACGGCTTCAACGAGACGCAGCTGAAGCGATTTCAGTTCTACTCGCCACTTGCGTCCTGTATCGTCAAAATCGTTGATAAGAAAAGCGTCGGGCGACTTGAAAAGCTGAAGCATAATGTCCATCCCCGGCAGTAGCAGTCGGTTTGACGCTTCGAGTCCTAGATCTAGTGAGGTGATCATCTGGAACGTCTTCCCGTCCTCGGCCCATTTGGCTTTTTCAATGTAACCAGGGTTAGTTTTGGCCTCCTTCCCATCGTCTTTGGCCGGGTAGAAAGAAGCTTTGCCAAGAAGAAACTCCTTCGCATCTTTTTCGCGACAGAATTCGTTGATAAAGAATTGGCGATACGGCTTCAGATTTCCTGTTTCAACGACCGGAATTCCATTCAGACTCAGCACAATGTTCCGGAATAGAGCTTTTGCGAAGAAATTGACCGGGGCGGCACGCACCGTATCCTCTGCCTTTTCCGCAAGGTGAATTCCAATGTTGTTTTCGTTCAGAATACTGGCTTCAATCTGGATCGTTGTACGTGCTAGACTGACCGGATGGTGTTGTTTGACTATCGTGAAAGACCAGGGTCCATCTTGTGTAATCGCCGAGTCGAGGTTGATCACCCGGGTACGCATCTGATGGATCCCGATTGAGGTGGGGGGAGTAGAAAACAGATTTAGCTCAGAGCTGTAGGCAAACTCCGTGTCTTCGGAAAGCGTCTGCATTTTTTAAGAAAGTTGGTGGCGTCGGCGTGTCGTACGTCGTCTCTTGTGAGGAATGACGACGGCAACAGGGCGCAAGCGTCGGCGAGGGCGGCCCCCGCCCATTTTCTTCTTGGCCGCTGCCGCTCCACGGTCGATCAGGCGGACGGCGGACTCCTTGCCATGTTTTTTCAACGACTCTTTTAGGTCTACGCCAGCGGAAACATCAGCGAGGGTCTTTCCAGCTGCCGTGATGAGCTCCTTGCCGACGGCTTTCCCGCTCCTCTTCAGAATAGGCATTAGAAAACGGACAATAGATCCCCAGACTGAGCTGCCCCGCTGATACGGAGTGCCCATAAACATGGGAAAGTGAGCAAGACCGGCCCCGCCAATTTGCTGCTGTTGCTGCTCAAAGACGGGTAGCCAATCAAACTCATCAGGGTCAAAAGGGAGATAATAGCGAACATGTGTCATGTCTAGTAGATTCGACGGAAATGAAGGCAGGCGATAGTGTTTCCGTAGTTTATACGAAGGGGCCGCCCCTGTCCGTCTACCAGCTTCATCGTAATAGCTTGGATGTCGTTGGAATGAACTCGGCGGTATTGAATTGCGTTAAACTCACGGGTGAACGTCTGTCCAAACTTGGTATCGCCGACTGAGAAAGTTCGTAGCAAGGGGACCAGTCGGCTGCCGACGACTGACGGCTCGACGACGTCAGAATAGCAATAGACAATGCCTCTCCCCAGATCAGGCAAGTATCTGGCAGGACCACCAGTTTTAAGTTGGGACGGCTCGAATCCGCAAATGTACGCCAACTCTTTAGAAAGTTCTAGCCGTTTTACGAGATTACGATTTATATCGAGCACCAAACGGCCTGAAGCGGTATCATAGTGAAAGAAAACCCAATAGTGTCATAGCAGCCTTCGTATCAACCGCCCCTTTCCACGTTTCCTCGAGCGGAAGGTCGGGAGAAACGGAATAGGTTTCGGGCCGCCGATGAACGCTTGCGCTTGTGGGGCGGCGGCGGGATTTCTTGGAACGTGGTTTCGGCATCCTTTGCTGAGGTGTAGAAGTGTGAAATGACGAATCCTGCGTTTTAGACGGGGGTGTGGCTTTCTGAGGTACAGAAGACGGAGGTATCGCAGGAGGTGGTGGTGGTGGTGCCTCGATAACAACCGTCTTTTTCGTCTGTTTTCCGGCATCTTCAGAAGTTGGAATGGGTAGAAATTCTTCGTAATCGAAAGTCCCGAGATTAGGGTTGAAGATGGTGTCACCGTGCTTTTCCTGATCCTTGGGTTCGGAGTTCTTGGAAGGTGTCTCGACGGGTTTTTCTTCTGATTTCTCAGTCTCCTTAGGCTTCACTTCTGGATTTTCCTGAGGATTTTCCTTGGGCTTTTCCACAGTCTTCGCAGGTTCTTTAGGCTTTTCCTGAGGCTTTTGCTGAGGATTTTCCTTGGGCTTTTCCTGAGGCTTTTCCTGAGGCTCTTCCTGAGGCTTTTCCTGATGCTTTTCCTTAGGCTTCTTCTCCTCAGGCTTCTGCTCAGGCTTCTCCTGAGCTTTTTCCGGAGTTTTTTCCTTAGGCTTTTCCTCAGCATTCGCAGGGTCTTTGGGCTTTTCCTCTGACTTCTCCCTAGGCTTCTTCTCCTCAGGCTTCTGCTCAGGCTTCTCTTTAGGCTTTTCCTCAGACTTCTCCTTAGGCTTCTCCTCAGGCTTCTCCTTAGGCTTTTCCTCAACCTTCGCAGGGTCTTTGGGCTTTTCCTCTGACTTCTCCTTGGGCTTCTTCTCCTCAGGCTTCTCCTCAGACTTCTCCTTAGGCTTCTCCTCAGGCTTCTCCTTAGGCTTTTCCTCAACCTTCGCAGGTTCTTTGGGCTTTTCCTTTGACTTCTCCTTGGGCTTCTTCTCCTCAGGCTTCTCCTTAGGCTTCTCCTTAGGCTTCTTCTCCTCAGGCTTCTCCTCAGGCTTCTCCTTAGGAGGTTCCGTTTCATTTTTCAAAGGCTGTTTGGCCGGTATAAACGCATCATAGTCTAAAGTTCCGAGGTTTGGATTAAAAACAGTATCTGCGGCATGTCGCCGTTTTCTATCCGTTCTTATGGCACCTCTCGGATCCAAGGCTGCATTGAGCGCTCTAGCCAATTCGGATGGGTCTTTGTAGTTTCCACGAGGTAGTTTTCCGTGAAATTCTAAGCCAGCAAAAACTCCGTGATGCACGACCTTGATCGTCTCGTCCTCAGGCATTGTGTCCCAGGAGAAACAGGTTTGAATCTCCGCCAGCCCGACTTCCCATCGATTTAAACGACCATCCAGATCATACAAACGCAAATGGTTCGGCATACGGTTCACAAATACAGAAGACGTGTTTTCCGGGGAATCCGTCGCATTACT